TATTTCAGTACTGGTGATTGAACTCAGGACGTTGAGCTTGCCCGGCAGGCATGGCACCACTGAGCTAAATCCCTGGCCCATCGACTTTCTTAATAGTATCCATTAATGAAGAAGAGGGTTACATTTAGATGAGGTTGAACTATTTTTTATTTTTTGAACTATTTTCATCTTAGTTGTTCATGCTTTTTATATAATAGCTTGAGGACCATTGCCTAATTCAATGTATTGAAATGTACACTTATGTTTTATCTTAAAATCTAATAACTTCCTTGAGTGGCAACTGCACAATAAAGATTTGTTAACTGTTGAGTGAAAGATCAGGAAAATAGAAAAGTCATTGTGACTATGTGTTTTTAAAAAGTGTGAATATAAAAGGGAACTTCCTTAATTTGATTTTTAAAATCTCTCTAAAAATCTCCAGCTAATACCAAACTTAATGGTAAGAAACTTCTTGCTCTCACTAACACAAGAAAAAGCACATGAATCTCTACTCTCATTGCTTCTTTTCAACATCATACTGATGTCCTAGCTAATGCAGTTAAGATGACAAAAAGTATAGAAATTGAGAATAAAATAGTTTTCATTCACACGTGACATGGTTGTAGAAAAATCTCAGAGATGAAAAAATATTCCTGCTGGAATTAATAATTACAACAAAGTTGCAGGATATAAAATTAATACCCAAAGCTTATTACCTTCCTATAAACCAACAATGAAAAACTAGAACGTGATATTAAAATATACCATTCAAACCTAACAAAACACAAGGCTTAAAAGATGCCTCCCAAACATGTCACATGGGCTGGATGGGCCCTGACCTTGTGCAGTGATCTGAGCTAGCCTTTAGTACCATGGCAGGAATATGGGAGGCACCACATCTCTCCCTGCATACTGTGTAAGTATGGGGCTGCATAAAAGTTCTCAGGAGAAGAATTCTGCCCAGAAAGATGAATCTCAGAAGGGCTTGAGTGGTGTCACTGGGGCTGAGCCTTGGGGAATAATGTGCCCTGTAGAGAAAGGGGACAAGCATAGCCAGCAGGTGGGAAGACAATGCCCAGGGTGAAGAGTAGACATCTGAGGTATTGTATCCACCGCAGCACAGCAGGGAGGGATTCCATGAAGCATGCAGGTGAGCAGAGCATAAGTGGAGACAGCTCATTGCAGAGCTCGGAATTTTACCCAGTGACGAGTAGGAGCAAGTCAAACCTTGGCTTTGTATGGGGCCGGTGGCTTTGTGGAAGAAATACTCAGGGAAGACTGGGAACAAGCCCAACAGGCTACCAAGATCCTGAGTAAGGACTGGAAAGGAAGTTTACAATTGGATGTCAGGAGCTCTGCAGCTAGAACAGTGTGCCTCAGTTATCCAAGAGAGACTGGTTCTACGACATCCTGAAGATATGAGAATCCACAATGTTCAAAAATGGTATAAAACAATGCACTATTTGTGCATCCTCTCATACTACAACTCACCTGGATAATTTGTAATACTTAGTGGAATATAAATGCTGTAAGTAGTTAAGCTATATTGGCTAGGGGATGACAAATTTAACATGTCGGTGCAGGTGCACAATTTTTCTTACATTTAAGCCCATAGATGGTTAAAGTCAGATAGACCCAACACTATTTGAATCATTCTCCTGCAGCCCCACAAATTCTTTGCTCACATTTTGCAGCAAGGACCCCAAAGACACCATCTTATTTTTGGTAGGCTACCATGACCTCTGTAGTGGGCAGACCAATGGCTCTTCCTTTAAAATTTTTCCTTTAAATTTTTGATGAGATCAACAGTCAAAAAACAGTATGAGTGGACCGATAGCCTGAGACCTCCCAAGTGCTCACAACAGACAAAAGAGATCTTGATGAAGGAGCTGAAGAACAAATTGTTTCTTTCCTTCCAGACAGCTCTAAAAACTAGATGAGGCATGTCTGCACCAGCTGAGAGAAGAAAACCAGAGTGTAAATGTTTTCACATTTCTCAGTGTTTTCCTAAATTTTGGGACTGAGTGAGGAATTCTCTTTGATTCAAGTATCATTACAACACCTGTAAGGTCCAAAGTACATTTTGTGTTCATTCCCTGAAATTTACCACTGAAACAGAAATGAGGGGTTCATATATACTCTTATTTCTAGATATTCTCACCAAGTCTGAAAGTTTTTGTTGAAATGAAAAATAATTAGTAGCTGCTTATCTTCCGTCAAACATTTCACTGATCCACGGTTTGCTCCAGAGCATGTTGTTTAATTTTCATGTATTTGCAGATTTTCCAAAGTTTTTCTTGTTATTGATTCTAGTTTATTTTTTCCCATCATGGACAGAAAAGATATTTGATATAATCTTCACTTTTTAATGCTTTCAGGCTTGTTTTGTGTCTTACCATTTTATCTATCCTTGAGAATGGTTCATGTGCAGCTGAGAAAAAATGTATCCTGCAGCTGTTGGATGAGATGTTCTACAAATGTCTGGGAAGCTGTTTATACCAAATATTTTGTTGATTTTCTCTCCGGATGATCTTTTGCAAAAAGTTGGGTGTTGGATCCCCCTCTATAACTGTATAACCATCTGTTATCACTTCTATTGAGCACAGTGCTAGAATTCTGAGCCCAAGCGATTAGGTAAGAGAAAAAAAATAAAGGCATCTCCCCTCTCTCTCTTCTCTCTCTCGTTAAAAAAAAAAAAAAGAAACAAACGCAAATGATTGTGTCCCACCTGCCTCACGAAATCAGAATCTGTATTTTTAACAAGCACCCAGCTGATCTCTGCAATGGCTGCTAGGGCTTCAGTCATCTCCATATCTTTACCATTTCACTTTGACACTTTGCCGTTATTCACTCAAATAGCTTTCATTTAGTTGACTTTAATAGTTTGAGACATTCTAAACAACATCAAGTCCTAGGCTTGATGCATTTTAAAGATTACACAGCAAATCCATAAATTTTGAAAATCCACTGAATCCCTCTACCACCTGCTCACTCCTGCTTTTCAGGACTGTGAGTCTCAAAACAGTGGTCGCAGATGCTTCTGGGCACAGGGAAGTAATGGACAAACTTTGGTACCCTAAGCCTCTGTTCGGAACCTCTCTTGTTTATGTGTTTATTTAGAATCAGGGTCTATGTACCCAGGCTGGACTAAAAATCGCAACAATCCTCCTGCCTCACATTCCCACGTGCTGGGCTTACAGGTGTGCAGATCTTCCTCCGGGTGCCATGACACAACCCCATGACTGCAGGATTTACCTTCCGTGTACCTTTCTGCCCTCTTTTTAGCCCATCTGTCCTCTGCCAAGCCAGCTCACTCTTTCTTAACTCTAACCGAACACAAGAGTCACTGAAGACTTTAGCACACAAGTGCTTTGCTTTCTAAAAGTGGATTTTTCTCAAGCAACTGGGTTCACAGAGCCTTTCCTGTCAGCCCCTGGAGCTACAGTTCCCACCTCTCCAGCCTTACTTCACTCCCTGCCACCCCCTCTACTGCAGCCAAGTCACTGGACACAGTTTCCTCTTCACACTTAAGCTTCTTCCTGCCATGGGCATTTCAGATGTTCTTGGGCCATGGCTGACATTCTTTTGGTTTCATCTCCAATGTCACATCCTTCCCACAGGTAGCCCCGACACCACACCAAAATCCCAAGGTGTCCTGTGTCATGGTGGTCCACAGCTGGGGCTGCTGTTGTCCCTCAGCAGACATTTCCACTTGTCACACCAGGGGGATCTCACTGGCATCTAGTAGTTAGAGACCACGGATGGATGCCCAGCCTCTCACAGTGACTGGGATGTTTCCTAGACAAAGTTTCCAGCCCCAGATACTGAGGTGGAGAAACCAGGCTCTTTCACAATATTCTTTTCTTCTTGTCTTCATCAGTACCAAAATGATAGTTTTGTTTGTTTGCTCATTTTGCTTCATTATTTCAGTACTGCAATTTGAACTCAGGGCCTTCACACTTAAGTATACATCCTCAGCTTCTTTTACATTCTATTTTTCAGACAAAGTCTTCCAGAGCCACTTAACCTTGAAATCTCCCTATACTGGCCTCATAGAAATTATAGACATGAACCACTGTCCTTGGCTCTAACCCAGCACCAAGACAACCTGGCACCTACTGGACAATCAGTGCCTCTTGACATACTCTGGCCACATCCAGGGGCCCACAGCAATGTGAGGATACTGGGCCAAAGCTAATGGAACCAGAAAAAAGGACAATTAAAAAGCAACTTTTCATTACACAGCCAGGAAGAATCCCTCACTGCAATGTACTCACAAAATGATCCCATTTTTATAGCTATCAGTGAATGATTGATTTTCCCAATTCTCAAAAGATGTGCAAAATTTCCGCAATTTAAATAAACAATCTTAACTAGAGCAGTGTTCTAATATTCCAGGACAGATTATATGTAATACATTGTCATGTTTCAAAAGATCAAAATCAAAACAAAATTTGATAGATATATGACTGATAAATTTAGAGAATTCAATTAACTAAATTCCTCCTTTTTTCTTAACCATTCTTCCTGTTATTACCAATTAACTTCTTTACAATTATGTACCAATAAACTCAATGAAGAAAAAAACTTAAAAAGGAACATTATCTTGAAAAATATAAATATACAGTAAGAAATTTATGAATGTAACTCCAGTGAAATTACCTACTGAACTGATACTATATCTGCTATCACTAGAAACTTTGCAGGGGGAAAAATTACATTCCGTAGTGTTTTTAATTTTTTACAGTCTTCTAAAAAGCAACATTTTATTGAAATTACCACTATGTAATAAGGTATACATCAAATGATTAGCCCTGACAGGAATACAGTCCAAGTTACCCTAATGTCATCCAGTATTACTGCTAAGTTAAGATTGGAAATCGGGTCCAATTTTATTTATTTATTTATTTATTTTTGCTTGTTTTTTGAGACAGGGTCTCACTACGCAGTTTAGTTTGACCTGGAATTCACTATGTAGCCCAAGCTAGTCTTGAACTCATGGCCATCCACCTGCCTCAGCCTCCCCAGTGCTGGTATTACAAGTGTGCGCCACCACGCCCTGCTGGCTCAATTTTTAATCCTGTAAAACACGTCTCTTGTGTTTCTTCATCTCACAGGATACCACTAGTTACTGATGCTCTTGTGTTTGAACAAATGGAAATGCTAAATAAACACTTCAGTGTATCGCCAGGCCCCTTAGGCTACACAGTAAAACTCCAGGAGAGTGGAGAATGAAAGCAGGTGTCATAAATACAAAGCCCTGCAGTCATCAGACAGGAATACAAATAACTGTGCAAGAAAACAAGAAGCACAGTGATAGAGCGTGAGGCTTCATCTCCTAGGGCCCTGGCCACCTCAGAGGGCAACCTCATCTTGACGAGTCTTTCCAGAGAAGCACTGAGTGTGTGATTTTATTTATTTATTTTAAAGCTTCCCATGTACGCATCTTGCCTCAAATTTTCAGAAAAGGAAAACACCGCATTGTGAACACAATAGAATTTTAGACCAAATCACGTTAACCTCACTTGGCAAACTCCACGAAGCGTGCACATGTCTTCCTTACCCTCAGACCCCACTTCTGAGGACCTACTCATTTCTAGAACTCTGCAGGGCAGTGACACAACCAAGAACTTTGAAAACAAGCACCCTGCCCTCCTAGGCCACTGGGGCGAGAGCAGCCGTGCACCCCAAGCATGAGTTCTGCTAGGCTTTACTCAAACGGAAACTAAAACAACACCCAGCCCTGTTAACTGTGCCTGTACAAATGCTTCCCTTCGGGCAATGCAAGCCATTGTAAATCGGTACTTTCAAGAATCATGGCTGTGACTAACAGTCTTCAGCTCTTGTGACAAAACCAAAAATTTAATTACATAGCAAAAAAAACAGTATTGGTATTAATTAGATATGAAAAAGATCCTTCAGGAATAACTCTAAATCAAAAAGTGTTCTAGGGACAATTACAAATTTTGAATTTTGGTTGAAAGTGGTGGCGATAATTTTAAATGCTATTTTACATGCAGTAGGACTTTTGTGAGGCAGGAAACCTTTTCCCAATACCTTTTCTCCTTGTTCATTGCTGCCCTGCCCCATCCTAACACTTATGTCAGAGAGGCTGGCAGGTGTCCACAGACACAGCACCACACACAGGGAGAGTAAGGCACACAGTGCCTGCGATGGGCCATGGGCAGGTGACTGTCTTCCCCGGCGCCTACTTGGATCCTTCTCGGGCCGTAACTTCACCTGACCGCTAAGATAGCCCTCTGTGCCCCGAGACCATGCAGAGCCGTGACAAAACACACTCACCTACAGTGATGACAGGGGAATCAGTTGTACTTCCTCAGAAGGGAAAGAAAACCTGCTACTCACATGATCTCAACTTAGGGAACAAACTGAAATGTCACCATTTGGAGTTACAGTATAACAGCAACAGGTAAGCATGAAACTCTCCCAAATGAAGTCTCAAACTGGGTATTTTGATGTTTAAATCCCCTTCCTCTAGACAGTGGTGGTGAGCTCATTTCCTGTTTTCCCGATTATTCTCTTTGATGGAGAGAAGGTTGATAGAGTCTAAAGAAAAGGCAAAATTCTGAGGTGTTCATGTTTGAGAGCTCTGCGGTGCCTGGAAAGACTGGGCCAGGCTTAGCCTAAAAATGAGGACTCTATTGAATCAACTTGACAACATATGGCTTTGATCCTGAGAGTTACTGTATCCAAGAGCACTGATCTGCTGGGACAGAGAAAAGTGATACAGAAAAATATTCCTGGATTAGAAAGACCTTTACAGGGTGATGCCTGGGCACTGTCTTCAGCAGTCCCAGGCAGAGAGTGCTACACTCGCATTGGCTCAGTGGTTTTCCTCGATGATGTAGGCATTGTCTTCTGCTGGGGCTCGCAGTTCCAAAGCTGGAATTTGAGAACGAGTCCACAAAATCTTGCTGCAGAAAGAGTTATTGAAGCATAACATGAGTAAGGGTAAAGCAATAGCTTGTAAGTATGAGCAGTGTTTATATTTATGATCCAAAACGACTGGCTAATTGTGTCCTCTAGCAGCTCTGTTCGCACAAAGAAAAAAAGCACCTTGTGGTGGTATAGTGCGGTCCTCCTATTAAACTGCAGTAATGTCTGATTTAATAAGCAAATACTGGCTGTGGTAGCGAACACCTGTAATCCCAGGCACTGCGAGGGTGAGCCAGGAGGATCATAAATTCAAGCCTAGTCTAGAGACTTTGTGAGACCCTGACTAAAAATAAAAAAGGAGCTAGGGATCCATGTGAAGGTCCAGAGCTCAATCTCTAATACAAAAAACTCAGAATAGTGTCTTTCAGGATGCTCATATAATAGCACAAAAAAATAAAAACTCCATATAACACTTGACTTCCTCAATTTTCAAATATGACTAAAAACTAGATGACTGAGGTTTGCACAGCTGTGAATTCTAGGCACTGTGGACTCCCACTGAGCTGCACAGAAGCCACAAGGTCCCATCAGGAAGACAGCAGACCCAACCTTAACGCACGCCTGGGTTTGCATGTGGCTGGTGTTTTCTAATTGGTGTAACAGCGACTGTTGCCCCCATGGAAATGCAGACCTTGAGTCTTTAGACGGGCACAGAGGAAGACCAAGTCACCACCCAGTACACTGAGAAGAACAAGAGAGACAAGGTACCTCTGTGGTCCTGGGTCAGTCACACATGTGGTTAACACTTCCAGTCTCAACAAAAAAATGAGTCAGTGTGACAAAGGCCAAAAAGAAAAGGTCCATGGGAAAGGCTCATACTATGTTAAGTAAGGATTTTTTTTCTACATTACATTTTGTAAGTATTGCTGGAAGGTATGCATAACAATAGAGATGCACATTGAAATAAATTTTCCTAGTCCAAGGGAAAGAATGGATACTTCAGGAGAAAAAGAGGAGAGCAACTAAGAGTAATTTGTCTTTATTCTTACAAGAGTGAGAACATCAAAAGATGTTGTCAAATCTTTCAAACTTACCTTATTGTCCATGTCTTCTTTTTGCCGATGAAATACTCTAAGTAAGGGGGCAGACAGCCAGAAAAGAGTGGAAAAGATAATTAAACATGTCAGCAAAAAAAACTCTCATTAAACCTGCTTCCTACCAACTTACCTCCTTCTGTTGTTTGAAACCTTTTTGGTACCTTCAGGTAACTCTTACCTATAACCCCATTTGAGTCTACAGAAACCTAAACAAGCTCTTTAGTGTTCAGTGTCTCATTTTCGTTGATGTTCAGTATATTCACCCACATGTGATTACTTGTTTCTCTGGGTTTTTTTGTTTTGTTTTGTTTCTGATACCAGGGATTGAACTAGAAACCTTGTGCTCGTGAGGCAGGCACAGTGCCACTGAGGTAAGTCCCCAGCATGATTTGTTACATGAAATTGTTAAATTATCTTTATTTGAAACAATAAGCAAATTGACAGTTTTCCTAACTGGCTGATGGAGATCAGGCATAAACCCAAGATTGTCCCAGGCTTCTGGGATAGAAGGTCCCCCGCTAGGATCATACCTCGGTCAAAGACCTTACATACTTTTGTCAAATTTTTTAATTCCTGGTGATCTCTCCAAATAAATGGGAGATAAAAACTATTTTGTTAAATGATGAAGCATATTTGAGGTATTTTACACAAATTCTAATAATCATTTTAACTAAACAAGTTCTAATTATAGCAATTAAGTAGAAATGTCCTCAAATTTGACAAGCAAACTTGGTTTTCTGATTTTTCCCCAGACATATTAAATAGATTAGCAGAGTTCATATAGTGTCTTGCCAAAAGATGACTGAGGTTCTCTCAGAGGACGAAGAGGAACACACACACATGCGCAGGCGCGCACACACACACGCGCGCGCACACACACACACACACACCTGGCAGAAAAGGGGCATTCATCCTGGGATGGCTGCCTCTTTAAAGACCTGTATTCTAGAGTTCTAGCATTAGTCTTTCACTGTCCCCTCCCAAAGTCTCATTCATCTCTTCTGCTCAATAGGTTCCCTAATCTTTCCACACCTACTCAGTGTGACAAGTTGGACCTTGAGTGGAAGACAGAACACATCTTCCACATCACAATAGTTTGTTGCTTCCCACATTCCAAACTTACTCAACAAACTGTTATTTCTTAGTATTTAAGATAAATTAAATTTAGTTTTTCTCTGTGTGGGAGCAGAAGTTGAAAAATAAATACCATATTTAAGAAACAACAGTATTTAGTAAAAACTCCTCTAGAACGTAAGCTCCATGAGACTTACAGAGGTACTATAAATGGCAAAAAGACCTTTTCTAAAAATAATAATAAAAGCTTAAGAATGCTGTGAATTTCCTGTTTGCCAGAAGTCATTCTCGGTGCTCTGTAGGCACTAACACAGCCCCTGGGAAATAGAAGGATCCCACCACGTGCATCTGACACATGAGGATTGGGGGACCAGGGAAGTCATGTGGAACAAAATGACCAGCCACATGGACTACACTACTTGCATGCAGACATTTGGCTGCGGACCCTTGCTCTAGTCCCTTAAGAACAATCTTGAAATTACTTACTTTTGATAATGATGGTGACCAAAACCATGAGCAAAACCAAGCTACAAATAAGGATTCCAATATAGAGTCTGTCACTGTTCATCCATGTGTTTTGTGCTTCAAACACCTGCCGAGGAAACATCAATAAGTTGTAAAAGTGCCTTGTTAAGAGTTACGAACAGAAAGAAACATTTCCTACAATACCTTAACCCAAGACACTTACTCCACTGTCCTTTGGCTACTTTTAGACCAAGCGTAAGACCACATGCCACTAAACCTCAGACCAAATCATCTGAGGATATAAACATAGGCAGAAATTCTAAGACAATTTGAAATTCAAACTGTTGTAACAGCAATAATTTCTGTTTGCTTCAATCAGTGTTTACATAGGTGTATTCTTTGGCAAAATTAAACCTGTACACACGAAGTATACATATATGTTATGTATATAAATTATATCTATATTAAAATCCGATAGGCTATTTCTGTAACTTCATCATCTTCCAGTACTAAGAATGAATTTCTGTTCATGTATATGTTGATTTGATTTGCTGTTATCGAACTGTGCATATTTATTGAATTTGGTCTTTTATCTGTTCCTTGTTTTCAAAATGTAATATAAATTGTGTGTGCCTGGTATATTCCCATAATCCCAGCACTCTGAGGCAGGAGAATTACAAGTTCAAGTCCAGCCTGAGCAACTTAGCAAAGGGAAATCCTGACTCAAAATTTAAGAAAACAATAATAAAAAAGGGCTGGGGATATAGTTCAGTGTGTATAGAGTTCAGTCGTCGGTCCTGCAATTAATCAATTGATCAATCTATCAAAAATCAATTAAAATGTAGTACAAGAAACTATCTGCATTAAAAAGATTTTGGAATAACTGGTCAAGAACATGTCCCCAACATGACACTGTAACACTGGAGTGAGGTAGAAACCCAGAGTTTATTTAAATCCAGTATACATCCCCGGTCTCAATAAATAAATAAAGTTTGGGCTGAATATTTAGCTCATGGGTCCACCTCCTGGAATAAAAGTTAAACATGGTAGGCATGATGTTAGCAACAACACATGCATCATCCTTGCTTAGAAGGGGCCTAGCCACTCTCTGGGAAGGACAATTGTGTTGCTTTAACGTTGCTATGCAGAGGGCACAAGAGCACACAGGTGGAGAATGGGGTCTCAGGAGACAGACTTACATTTTGTTTTTTAAATTTTATCACCCCAATGGGACATGTTCATTTTAGAGTACACAGTCATGAAAGGAAAAAAGGAAAACTAAAAATAACCATTACCTGATGTCCATAAACAAGCATTGTTGCCATTTTTGCTTTATATATTCTTCTAGAGTTTATCCTTCTAGGATCTTTAAACAAACACAGTAACTAACTCCTGTTAGGACCTCATTAGCCATTAGTAGGCCTGGAAGACTCAAGGGGTTCAAAATAGCATCCTTTGCCAGTTAGAATGCAGTGAATGAAGAAAGACCTCCTTGTCTAATGCATTTATGGTCATCTGTTCGCGATCAAACAACCCCAGCAGGAAGTTCAAGGGCACTTTAGGGCTATACCTTAGGCACCTTCATTATGAGAGGGAGCTGTTTCCACAGCAAAGGCACACAGCACACCTGGTTGCCATGGCCGGAGGCCCAGTGATATCAGAAAGGGAAACATTCTTTAAAGACCTTCATTTCTTGAGTTAAAACCTAATTTAGATTAGGATCTTTGCTTTCACAAATTCCTTTTACAGGTTTCTTACAGGATCAACTCCACTGACTATCTGAGCAGAAATAAGAAAACATTTTTGCATTTCCAAAGTAGCCTCTGAGACAGACATTCCTAAGCATCCTAATCACCATGGTTTCTTGAAGCCCAGGAGTAACTTGTGCATACACCAAGATGTCCAAATTCTGCACTCTCCAAGCATGTGCCAAGATGGCACTGCCTGCCTTCTTTTGAGGTATAAATTTCTCCACATTTGCTTTGCAACAAACTCAGCTCATACTTCTGAATGGCCGGCCATCTTTGTGTCTTCACTGAGTTCATTCATCAGTCACAAAGGACTAAGGGCCAGGGCCAGTGTCCCTTGGTGTCAGGACCCTGCTCCCAGGGACAACTCTACATGTGGTACGGCATATGCACCAATGTAGAAGTCACTGTTCTCACTTACTGACCTATGGTGCCTCACTCCTTCCCATGCGTCAGTAAGTGTGGTGCAAGAACTGCATTCTTGCTGGCAATATCTGCTTGTGCTTAACTGACTAAATAATAATTCCTTAGTATTGAAAATGTCCCTGTTTATAATATGTTCATGAAGAACAGTAGTAATGAGGGCTGGGGATTTAGCTCAGTGGTTCTGCCACCTGCTTCACACACACAAGGTCCAAGTTTGATCTTCAGTACCAAAAAACAAACAAACAAACAAAGAATAGTAGTAATGAGAATTCTTTCTTATGTCTTCACATATTTGTTTCTCTTCTTAAGGTAGAGCTCAAGAGGTTAATCCACTGGGTCAAAATTTTATTTACCCTTTTCAATCACTGGGCTGGGCACGCATGGTGGCGCATGCCTGTAATCCTAGCACTCAAGACACTGAGGCAGGAGGATCACTGTGAGTTCCGAATCAGCCAGGACTACATAATGAGCTCCAGGTCAGCCTCAACTACATACTGAGATCCTGTCTCCAAAAAACAAACAAACAAACAAACATGTGGGATACATGTTCAGACTGAAGGCACAAAAAGCTCAAAATTTTTTATTTTTACCTATCTTGAACTTGCTCCTTAACTATTTCTACATGCTGCTAAACACACCTGTTCTACAAATACCTGAGGTGAAAAACATCACCATTTAGAGAACTGTTTTAATGCTAAGCATAAGTCTGCTCATCTAGCAACACAATGAACACCTACATAGTGGTAGTTCTGATATGAGCCAGTACGGACAAGTTTAGTTCAACGGGTACCTATCTTGTAAATGTCACTCTGTCTATGTGTGTGTGTGCATGTGTGTGTGTGTTTGGTACTGGGGGGTGAATCCATGCTTTTGCACTGACCTACATCTCCAGCCTGTTTGTATTTTTTACTTAGTGGTTCTCTCTAAATTGCTGAGGGTGAGCTTGAACTCATGATCCTCCGGTCTCTGTCCCTCAGTGCAAACAGTTCCTAATATCACACCTGCAATGTGGTCTCATTCTCACTGCAGTACACAGCATAAGGCCACTTGGCCCTACACTAAACAGTCTCACCTTTCCCAAGCTTTCTGAATTCTCTTTCAAGGGCCAACATTTGATTAAGTTGTCTTTTACTTATCTTACTTGCACATCCTAAAATAGAGGTTATTATCCCCTGGATCCAAAAAGAAAACATCTCACTGAAAAAATTTGTCAATTTGCCTTAGAGATAAGTGCTTATGAATATCATAACATTGGACTTTCTTAGATTTTTCTCAAGCTCACTGTAGAAAAAGTTTAAGAACATTCTGTAAAATCAACCTTTTTTTTTCTCTCACTGAGTTTATTGGTACATTTTAGGTATACAGTACAGTTACATTCATCATTGGGATCTTGTACCTTGTACCTTTACAAGACAGGTCTTGGTTCTCATTTTTTCCCCTTGTCCCTGTAAAATCAAAGTTTTTAAAGATCTTACTACCTTAATAAATATTCATGTGGGGAGTTCTACATATGGTGGCCTCAGAACCTCTGCCTAGAATAGTCATTGAGTAAGAACGATATTGTACACCTATCTTTATGTAAGAACTCTTTCCCTATGTTCTATTTTTGTTCAGGATAGCCCCCATACCATCTTTTGATTCAAAGCATATTATATCTCTAGTGATAATTACAGGCCTCTTTAGTATGTCATGCTAACTTTTACTCTTTCAATTAATTCATCCTTTCTAATTTTTGTCCATGGAAAGGTCTGTGTGTGTGTGTGTGTGTGTGTGTGTGTGTGTGCGCACGCGCGCACGCGTGCGCGTTATTTAGTAAAATATCATTTATTAAGCTTCTATAACAAGCTGGGCACCTAAATTAACTTTTCAAAGTAAAACAACCTATTTAATAGAATTTTTTCCTTCTTCTAAAGAGAAAAAACAATCAACATGTGGGATAGCCTTACAGAAATAGTCTTTAATTTCAACTTGTCTCCACGAAGACATACAAATGAAATCTGGCTAGTGAAATAGGGAGGAATATGCTTACAGTTTGATTGCTATTCCAATGGCCATCTGTGGGCTGTGTTGCTGTGCCATTCCCATCAGCTAGAAAGAAGAATAATTTATTAGAATCACCAAAAATACTGGATTTTTACCAAAAACACTAAATATATTCACACTGCCTTCTGGTGAATAAAAAGTGGAATGATAATGGGATTGAGTCCTGCAGGTGTTCCAATATTTAGAACATTATTAACATTTTATTAATTTATCTTATGAAGTTCTGTTTCTTAATGTTTTTGTCATGGGCTCGTTTAAAATGGACTCCTTTTTTATGGGAAGAAAAGCTATCGATGCAAAGTTGTACTTGCAACCATGGAAAGGGGTTTAGATGCCACTTAAATATACTCAGATTTTCACACTGGCTAAATATTTTGACACTGTCAGTGAGTACCCAGAGGCTATACACACCTCCAAAAATTACAACCAGCCTGCTCGGAATGGACTTGTCTTTACATTCTGAATGTGAATAAAATGAATTATGGTGTGCAAAACAGGTGCAGTGTAAATCTCACACTACATGCCATGATAGCCACCCAGTCTTGGCTCAAGAAACACTTTACAAAATATGTTGTATTGTAGCTACAACTGTATTTTATTTCATTTTCTTTTTTTGTTTTTGGTGCCAGGTATCAAACTCAGGTCACTGTGCTTGCGAGGCAGAGAGCAGAATCACTGAGTTAAATCACTGGCCCTACAAATGTATTTTATACAACATAAGGATTAGGATATCATACAGTCAAAGAGACATTGATCTTACAGTTTAATACATTCGGGTTTTTAAATATCTATTTTGTAATGGACAATATATGTTGTCCTTTTTAGGAATCTATCACTCAAATCAAAGCAATGTATATGCTAACAACCAGGTCCTTAGTCCTGTTGGGGGAAGAAACAGGTATAGAACAGTTAGACACGTTTCCAATGCTTCCAGCTTTATTTATCTAAGGATAGAAACCTCTTCAGTGGCCATCACATATGTTGTTCTCCCATCAAATGGAAATATGTTAGCCGGGCGTGGTGGTGCACACCTGTAATCCCAGCACTCAGGAGGTTGAGGCAGGAGGATCATGGACCAGTATTTAGCTAAGGAGAGAAGCCCCTGCTATAGACATCACATATGTTGTTCTCTCATCAAATGGAAATACATTAGGTTTGTAAGTTCCCTCCCTACTGAAAAAGCTCACAGAGTCCCTACAGAAACAAAACCGGGTGACGCATCCTCTGCTCCTGTGTTTACACTCCTACTGCACTCATTCTGAGAGTGCATGGCGCTGAGCCAGAGGCAGCATCCGGGACTTGGCTCTGCTTGTGACAGATGACGACTGTAAGACCTTCAGAAGCCAGACTGGGTTGGGTACTGCAGATAAACTTTACTCTGGTCAGGGATTTAGCTCAGTGGTGCTTCCAGCCAAGTGCAAAGACCCGAATTTGATCCCCAGTACAAAAAAAACAACAAAACACTGCACAGACTTGAGTCAGATGAAATCTGATTTCAATCTCTCGGCAGTGTGGCTTCTGCATAAACACATAGGCATCCATGTGTATGTACTCAGGTATCTCTAACTTGGATATCTGAACCACAAGCTATTAATAGTGCATACCAAAATGTGTTACAATTAAATTAGATGATACATAAAGTCCTTTTCTTTTCAGTACTGGAGATGGAATCTAGGGCCTTCCTACCAACTGAGCAACATCTCCAGCCTTTTTTCTATTTTTATTTTAGAAAGGGTCTCGCTAAGTTGCCTAAAGTAGGATGGAGACTGCAGTCCTCCTGCCTCAGCCACCCAGGGTGCAGGGATTACAGGTATGTGTCACCACACTGAGCCCATCCCCAGCCTTTATTTTTTATTTTGAGACAGAGTCTCGCTAAATTGGGCACCCAGGCCTTGACTTTGTAATCCCCCTGCCTCAGCCTCCCCAAGTAGCTGGAAGGACCGGCCTGTGCCACCACACGCAGCTACAGCGTATTATCACTAGGTGAAAGGAGCCATGAGGAAGAGGGAGGGACACTTTTGAAACCGTGACCACCTAGTGAGGAATGTTCAACAGCTTCCCCATCGGCACGCAGCTGGTATGGCTGCTGAATCAGGAGCTGTGCTCCAAAGCAGGTCGCCCAGTCTGGCGGTCACAGGCACACAGCCTGCCTTGGAAGAATTCAGTGAGACAATGCAAGTCTCCTGGCACACAGTGCGAGTCTCTGTCATGTGGGTGGGGAGCCATGTGACCTGCCTTCCAGACTCAACAGTCTCCACTTCCACACAGCTCTCACCAACATAGGACTGACATGGGTATGATGAAGACTGGGCCCAGGGGCCTCAGATACTTGGCCAAAATGTCAGCACTCCCAAAAATCCTGGGGACGCAGCTGCACCTGAGTCTGTTCCCCTCGGGAAAGCTCTACCTGGACCAGGTTTTAATGACATGATATTGTAGAGAATAACTGCCCACGCCTACTCTCTTCTTTCTCAACCCTACAAGAATGGGTGCAGCTCCTCCTACTGCTCTTACCTCATATTTCTATCATTTTCCATTCTGCTTTTGTGCCCAGAAACAGTGTAGAGTAAGAATCCCAATTTCAGAACCAAATATCACCATTATCTAATCCCTATTGACTGTGTGTGAATCTCACTACAGGTGCATCGCAAAATTACCAGTTTCCAGGAATGTGTGGGGAAAGGTCAGCCACAAGGGTGGAGAACCCACCCTGGATGTGGCAGAGGCACAAGGGCACCTAAACCAGCTCGGAGTCAGTCACAGGAAATTCGGGACAAGGCGCTCTCAAAACTTAACGCTATGGGTAACAAAGGGAGTTAGCTAGGATAGGTGACAAGGCTTCAGGGAGAGATGATCTTTCTGCATCTAGGAGACACAGGTCACTTCTACATCTACAAAGACTGGGACCTGCCCAGAGTTGGAGCAGTGGAGCATTATGTTTAGAAAACCTGCAGCTCAGTGCAGCCTCTACAGTGCTGATGTTGGTGGCTTCAACCTTCCTGTCCTAGTCTGCTCAGGCTGCTGTAACAAGATACCTTGGACTCAGTCACCAATAAACAAAAGAAATGTATTGGTCTCAGATCTAAAGGCTGGGAAGGCCAAGATCCGGGCACAGGCTGACTGGGAACCTACTGAGGGTTCTGTTCATCATAGATGGCGCCTTCAATGCAGCCCCGTTGGGAGGAAAGGGCAAACAAGCACACTCTGGTCTCTATTATAAAGGAACTAATTGGCCCCCAGATGTCCCACCTCTTGAAAGTCTTGCACTGAGCATTAGGTACCAACAGATGAAACTGAGGGGGACGTGAATGCTCAGTCCACAGCACTACCTCAGAATGCCCATGTGCATACAAGCTTGACAGCAGGGTGGCCTCCTGGCCATATTTAGGGACTGGGCCTTGGAGGAGGTGACCCAAGGGGTCAAGCTCGGGAACAAGCTTAGAGCCAAGACTGGTTGATTTGATTTACAGCAGTAGAGTAACATGAAGGCTCCCGGTACTTCTACTATGGATGCTGGATGTTCTGGCTGGTGGGGTGGCTGGTATCTGTCCCAAGCCCTTCATCTCAGTGAATCTCTGTCATCAGCCTATGAATCCATTACATCTCTTTTACAAATAATGAAACAGAGGGCCAGGGATTTAGCTCAGTGACTCTGCCGCCTTCCTTGTAAGCACAAGATCCTGTGTTTGATCCCCAGTAGCAAAAAAAAGAAAAAGATGAAACAGAGTCAGAGAGGGCAGACATAGGTGCCAAGTCACATGGTTAACTTGAGTGGCCAGTATCAGAACTAAAGTCAGATTCATTTTATTCCAGAATTTGTGTTCTCACTTAAGGCAACAGCTACCAAGATCTATATATAGGCTCCCTGTGTTCAGGAGACAGAATGAAGTTACCTGTTGGGCCAGAGTCTGGGGAGGAGGTGGGGGGCTGAGGCTTTGTTTCCTGAAGTATTGTAGGCTGTGTCTCTTCTGCTTGAGTTGGAACAGGTGGAGTGATTTCTGGAATGAAAATAATGAAAGAAGTATGTCCCATTTGTAGAGGGAAATTTTCCACCCCCAAAAAAATAAATAAGATGGACATAGTGGCACACACATGTAATTCCAGCACTTGAGAGGCTGAGACAGGAGGATCTCAAGAGTTCAAGGACAGCCAGGACTACAATGAGCTCAAGAGTATCATTCAAGTGTAGCTTGAACTATGCAGCCAGACTTTATCTCAAAAAACTAAAGGCCTGGTGTGGTGGCTCACGCCTGTAATCCCAGAACTTGGGAGACTGAGGCAGGAGGATCACTGAGTTTGAGACTAGCCTGGGCTACATAGTAAGTTCCAGGTCAGCCTCAACTACATAGTGAGACCCTGTCTCAAAACAACCAAAAAAAAAAAAAAAAACTCACTAAATGAATAGTTTTTTCTTTTGTTTTTGTACTGAGGATCCAACTCAGGACACTACACTTGCAAGGCAGGTAGTGGAAACACTGAGCTAAATCCCCAGACCAATAAATAAATAAATAAATAAATACTAAATTGCAAGGATCATCAGTTTCCCACAGAGCCTTCACCCCAGCCTTCTCATGAGATGTGATATCCACCAATCCTCTTTGATCCCTTTTATTTTTTTTTAATTGAGTTTACTAGTACATTTTAGGAATACAGTACAGTTACATTCATTGTTGGTTGATCCCTTTTAATTCAGAGGAAATGATTTTTTAAATTGTCCCTGGACAATGAACTGTACCTAGTTATTTCATTATTAGGCAGAAAATATGATCTATAAAATATTTCAGCAATCTTTATCAATATACAGAATTGTCCCCTATCTTCTATACTCCTAGTCCCCAATCCTATAAATGCAAAGCCTACCACAGAGCATTTCAGGTGGGACACCCATTACACCTTTTACTTATTTATCCTAGTGACATTTTACTTTCAGGGTATCCGGCCTGGGCGTTTCCACTAACCTGTCCTACCCCTGATAATAGCCTCCATCTGGGTCTCCTAGGTATATTCAGGTTCGAGGTTGTTTGTCCACACAGCGCTCCAGGGAGACAGACGCAGTGACAGACTCATCGCGCGTACACTACTGGCGCCTTGATGTCTCCCCAAGGTGACAACATCGCTCAACATCTTGGCCCGGGCACTGATTCGCAACCCTCAAAGCAAGGCCCCTGGTAGACCCTGGTCCCAGCTCCTTCTGCATATGCAGCTCAGGCATCTTTTTCGAAGAGTAACTTCCGCACTCATCTTGCATTCATCCTCAAAACGATTCCACTGAGAATTCTCTCACCCAGAGTTATGGGTCTCTTTCTTTCCTGCAATCTTAACTGTTTTTCTGATCGCTTAGCCTGCTTTATCTGCAGAGTTGGTCTCTTGTCTTTACAAGGTCTTCCCATGCTCTCTGTCTCGGAGAACACCACAGAACTGTGGGTCAGACTTGAGGAGGTGGCTGGATAAAAATTCCTCAGTCTGGCCTTTCCTGATTGCTCCTCACCAGTCTTTCTGTTTCCCTCCCCGCCAGTCTAGATAACTGTACATTTCAGCTCCACCCTTTCCCATGCTCTGAACTCTTTTCCTGTTTTATCTCCTCAAAACTGCAAGAGGATGTGGCTGTCTATAGGAACTAAAAACAAGACAATGCAAGAGTCAGATGGTCAGTCTTCACCCGATTTAGTTCTGCACAAAAGTCCTCTTGAGCTTAACTTCTTCCTCTATTGCATCTTTCTTTTCTCCCCACCTCCTACCACTTCACATCTAGGGCTTCCATGACTGTTTTGTATACAAGCTGCCAAAGTGAGCACTCTGTGACTGCTTCAGGTAGCTAACACAAGCCTAGGCAGATGCAGATGTAAGATAGCTTTCCCCGCATTAGATTGGCTGCAGTGCTCCCCTCCTCCGTGTAATGTAAAAGACAATTCTAAACTGAAAGTGTTTAGGAAACTATCAGGAGAAGAGTAAGACAGGTGTGATGTTGCATGTCTGTGATCTCAGTATTTGGGAGGTTGAGGCTGAGGATTACCACAAGTTTGAGACCAGCCTTGGCTATACATTAAATTGAGTTGTATAGCGAGACCCTGTCTCAAAGAAAACGAAAAACAAAAACAAGAGCCAACTAAGAACACCCCCCAGGTCATATGGCAACATAAACCACCACCTCTGTCTGTATCTCAGCTTTCGATCCAGTCAACACATTATCCCTGTTTTCCAAACCAAGTCTAGAATTCTCTCTCATTTAGCAGGAACAAATTTATTATTAAAAAGTTACTGGCCCAGAGATTTAGCTCAGCAGTTCTGCTGCCTGCCTCACAAGTGCAGGGTCCCAAGTTTGATTCCTAGTATCAAATAATAATAATAATAATAATAATAATAATAATAATAATAATAATAAAAAATAATAATAATAAAAAGTTAAACCAATATTGAGAAAGTCTCACACATTTTCAGAATATTCAACTGCATAGAACAAATCTGTTTTTCTAACAAATTTTTGTGCCTCCAGAATCTCACTTATGGACCAGAGATTTAGCGTAGTGGGGCTGCCACATGCCTCACAAACACAAGGTCCCCGAGTTTGATCCCCAGTCCCAAAATAAACAAACAAAATCTCACTTATAACCCAAAGCCCTGTCTTCCAAGTATGGCCCAATCCTTCAGGTCCCTCATGGTGAAATATATGCATAGCTCCATGGGAGTGGAGAGAAGTATGTTCCACCTATTTTTCTAGCTAAGAGTTTGTGACATTTCCATTACAGCCCAGAATGCAAGGCCACCTCAAGGAGTCAAAGGGTTTCAGGAGGCTTTGAGAATCACCTTTGGAAGTTATTCTTTTAATCCTGGAAATAGATTTGAACCTAAGCTTGTCCTTGGGATGACAAGCTATCTCTTCGCCTGTAAATCATTTCCATTTGTTTTAAATCTAAACTCTTTTCATTGGGAATTTGAGGTGTGAAACACATAACAGGAATTGACAACATGAACATGTATATTCTAAACCTCTGAAGTCTTTAAGTTCAATGTTTTTTTTTTTTTTTGGTTACCAGGGATTAAACTCCAGTCCTTGTGCTTGCGAGGCAGGCCACCAAACCACTGAGCTAAATCCCCGGCCCCCCCCCTTTTTTTTTTGTATAAATACTACCTTTTGCAGTTTCCATGCCACATAAATTAAGGTGAAGGCTCGCTGAGGTAAAACCCTGTAAGGCACTGACTGCTCCACAGAGACAGGGTAGTTTTAGAAAGTCTCTGTCCACACAGATGTCAGAACAGGACACATTCATAGATTGTGAGAGGAGCCACGGTCCTGTAGTTAAAAGCACCAGTCCCACATTCAAATGAACAGAAATTAAATCCTAACTGAATTACTTTTTCTCTTTATGAATTTGAACAATTACTTTTTAGACCGTGTGTCATTTCCCATCACTAAAATCTCCCTTTGACTCCCCTCTGCAGTGACAGGCATCCTGAGAATTATATGACATAATATTGTAAAGCATGCAGCATGGTGCCCGGTATACAGAGTAAATAACAGTTTCACTGAAATACGATCCTTAATTGGAGGTATTACTTCAGAACAGTCTGCAGGACACAGAGCCTGTTAGCCTGGCTCTTCTTCCCCACATTCCCTATCTTCTCGTCATAGAGCCTCGCCCAAGTAGGTCAGACCCACACGGGGTGTTCCAGATCAGTGGTCCACCTCTTCATAGCAAATAAGGAATCCTTTTGAGAATGTGATAAAAAGTAACAGACACCCCCACTCTTCAAATACTGAGGAAGGTACACATCATCTGAGAAGAGGGGAGGACACAGACCTTGTGAAGCTCACGTGTCAGACTCAAGTAAGAATCCTTGACATCGATGATACTTCTGTCTTACCACAATGGGCTGTATGTTCTACACCCTCCATGGGATGACCTCCTACTTCTGTTCACATTTTACCTGTTATGGAGCTCTGTGTATGTGCTGGTGTTGGAGGAGTAGTAGAGATACTCGGTGTTGTTGCAGCTCTTGTGGTTATGGCTGGAGTTAGAAATCAACATGAAAGCAAGATTAATGGGGGAACAAGAAACAGGAAACTCCTGCTGCAATGTAGCTGAGCACATCCATGCTAGACTGTCTCTAAGCAGGGCCACCTTTCCTGCATGAGGTCTTCACCAATGGCAAGCAGATGTTCTGATGGGGGAGGGCTATGAAGATAATACTGGATGAGGAGAAGCTACACTGAAAAATAAGCATCATCTCATATTTGTACTGAAGTCCCTTATAGGAAACCAGTCAGAGGGATGGTCCTTAGAGTCCACAATGCCCCATAGGGTCTACAGCCTCCCATCTAGTTCACATTTTACCTGTTTTGAGGCTCTGTGTATGTGCTGGTGCTAGAGGAGCAGTAGAGACACCAGGTGTTGGAGTTCTTGTGGTCCAGGCTGGAGCTAGAAGTCAACATGAAAGCAAGAATTAATGCAGAACAAGAAACAAGAGCCTCCTGCTGCAACTGTAGCTGAGCACACCAAGGACAGATTGTCTCTAGGCAGGGCCATCTCTCCTGAACCTCGTGTTCAAAATGGCCAACTAGATGTTCTGGTAAAGGAGGCCTGGGAGATTCACTGAGCATGGCGTGGAAAAGCTAAAATGAAAAGTATCTGGGAGATGAAAACATGTATCTCATATTAGTTTAAGTTCCCTTTAGCAGACCCGTCACAGAGGAAAGGTATGGAGAGTCGCACAATGCCCTATATGGCCTCTAGCTTCCCATCTGGGCTCCGAATCACATTTTACCTGCTTTTTCACTCTGTGTATGTGCTGTTGTTGGACTAGCAGTGGAGACACGACGTGTTGTTGGAGCTCTTATGGTGGTGGCTGGAGCTAGAGATGAACATGAAAGCAGGAATTAATAGAGCATAAGGAAACAACAGCCTCCTGCTGCAACTGTAGCTGTCCACATGAAGGACAGACTGTCTCTAGGCAGGACCATCTATCTCTGAATTTGGCCACTGACATTGTCCAGCTAGAACCTCTGATGGGAGAGCTGGGAGAGAGGGAAGCCGCTGAATTGAGAAGTATTTGGGGTATGAAAACATGTATGTCATATTAGTTAGTACTGATTTCCCTTTCTAAAGACCTGCCAGAGGGAAGAAGTCTAGACTCTGGGCTTACGGTTTGTCCTGTCAGTGCCAAGCGATTGTTCTGAACAGTGCTTCTCAGGCCAGCATGTTTACCAAATAGTGTTCACTTCAGTCAGTCCGAGGGAAAACACTCAAGAGACCAGTATCTTAGCTAAGGGCTAACTCCTGCCACTTAATCTATGCTAGATCCACATGGAGGAGCCAGCAGGAAAATTTGTACATTTTGTTAGAGGGCAGACGAGACCTAGGAAGGTTTCTTCCCATCTGTGATTTGGAGCTTGAGTATCCCTTCTCTAAAATGCTTGCAGTATTTGCACACACAGAATAAGACATCAAGGAAATGGGTCTCACGTCTAAATACGAAATTCACTCATGTTTTACACTATACACATAATTTAAGTGGTAAGCTTATAGAATACTGTACTTTTAATAATTTTATACATGAAACAAATTTCACGCTGTAAAATTATCCACTTGTTCTGTCATGTCATTGCTCAAAAGTTTCAGATTTTGGAGTATGGTGCATTTTAGATATTGGGATTAGAGATGCCAATCTATACTTTACAAATTGACAGCCTTTAAAATGTGTAAGGAGTCACACAGCTGAATGAAGTTCTGGGAGCCACGCAGAGAGCTGAGACTAGAATTAAGCATGAACAGAGTGCCTGGTACAATAGCAGAATCAATAAAGCAATGGATCAAGCATGTGTGAACAGTCTTGGAGAAGCCACATCTGTACTGATGACCTTGGCTGACAGGAAGGTGGCAATGGTGCAGGGATGGAATGGCACAGATCAAGTTATCTTGGTCTATCTTTGCTTCACAGACACACACCCTTTTGTTTGGTACAGTAAGGGATAAAACCCAGGGCCTCATGCATGCAAGAAGCTCTCTAGTAATAGCTAAAACTTGGAAACAGCCCACTTGCCCATCAGTTGGAAACTGGATAAAGATGTGGTTTTTCTATAAAATGGAATACTACTCAGCCGTAAAGAAGGAGAAATTAGATTCATTCAGAGGTAAATGGATACATATTGAGGATATACTCCTAAGTGAACTAAATAAGTCACACGTGTAAATATGAAATAGTTTCTCTGGTGTAAAAAACTATAACAGTACATAAGATCCTAATGAGATAACTGACAATGTGAAACAGGAAGAAAAGGGCTACAGGTGTAGGGAAAGTGGGAAGGGTAGGGGAAAGGTAATAAGGGAAAAAATAGAAGAAAATGAAAAAAATGGAAATAAAGTGTTTCTAAATAGGAAAGGGACGAAGGGGTGAAGGGAGGGCAGGGACAAGAGGAAAAAATGAGAACCAAGACCTGTTATATAAAGGTACAAGATACCAATAACGAATGTAACTGTACTGTATACCTAAAATGTACCAATAAACTCAATTTTTAAAAAATTAAAAAAAAAAGAATAAAAATATTTCACACAGAATTAGGGGGAAAAAAATAAATAAAAAGCTCTCTACCACTGAGCTGTGTCCCTAGCCTCTCCCTGCTTTTATTTTGAGATAAGATCTTGATAAACTGCCCAGGCTAGCCTCAAACTTGGGATCTTCTTGTCTTGGCCTCCCAAATGTCTGGGATTGTGGGTGTGTGCTGCCACACCTGGCAGTTGGTCCTATCTATTGGTCACTTATTATCAACATCTCTATCTGTCCCAACATCCTGTGACAACTACATAGACTGGAATGTACAGCTAAATTTGACAAACAGCCTCCATGGACCCTAACCCTAAGAATGCGATGATGCAAGTTTTCTGCGGTAACTTGAATCCATGCTCCTGGGCCATGGTCAGGCAGACTTGGCTCAGAATAAACTACTTTCTTATTTCATTTAAACCAGGGTAGTTCTTTTATGTTCAAAGATGACTGAAAACTTCTTTCTAACCAGGCACATCTTTCTCTTGTAAGCAGTTTTCTTAAATTTGTAAGATTTAAGTATTGCCAGACTGTAAATGTTGCCAGGAGTGGTGACCCATACTTGTGATCCTAGGAATCTGGGAGGGTGAAGCATGAGGACCCCAAGTTCAAGTTGTACCTGGACAACCTAGTGAGACCCTGATTCAAAATAAAAAATAAATAAAAAGGGTCTTTGCGTGAGGCCCTGGGTTCAATCCGAAGCACACGAAAACAAAACAGAATGTAAATTTTTTAGACTTGGAGACCTAAAACACAATTTCAGCAACAACTACACTACAATGTCAGTTTTAAAACAGCCCCAGGGCCAGGAATTTAGCTCAGTGGTCCGGCCAACTCCCTTGCAAGCACAAGGAACCATGAGTTCAATCCCCAGTACCAAAAAAGAAAAGAAAGAAAACAGAAAACAGCCCTGTACTACAATAAACATTTATTTGCAAAAACAGTTGGGGGACCTGTTACACAGTCTGCGCTAGCTGTTTGGTATAATTTGCTAACTTTGACATAAGGTATAACCAGAAACTTCAGCATCATCCATAACCATGCCTCCAGTCTAGAAAATTCCTCAAGATAAAAAAGAAAGTAAGCAGCCGGGTGTGGTGGTTCACACCTGTAATCCCAGCACTTGGGAGGCTGAGGCAGGAGGATCCTTGTGAGTTTGAGACCAGCCTGGGCTACACAGTGAGTTCCAGGGCACTCTGAACTACATACTGAGACCATGTCTCAAAAACAAAAATAAATAAATAAATAAAGACAGTAAGCAAGCAAAAAATCTGATTAGAGGCTCTCAACAGACAAAAATGAAAACAAAATCAACACCTCACCCACCTTTCTGACTCAAGGGATTTGCCCCAAGGCAAAACTGGGAAACGGTAAGAATAGAAAGAGCTGGTGAGGAGAAGCCTAGGAGAATAAACTCAGCATTTTAGATCCACACCAAAATTTAAGCAAAGAGCTGGGTCAGTAGAGCTGAGGCAGTCACACTGGCTCAGTTACAGTCACTCTTACTGGACCACGCAGTAGTTTCATAAACATTTTTTAAAAAAATTGTACATCTGTAATCCTAGGCTCTGGGAAGCTGAGGCAGGAGATCAAGTTCTCAAATCCAGCCTGGACAACTTAGCATCTCAGCTAACCCAAAATAAATAAAATTGTTAAAAGTCTAAGCGTGATTTTTTAAAAAAGTCTCCTAGTTTCATTGTATTCCATTAAAAAAAAAAACTGATCCAGGTCAATACAATTTTACAACTAAAGAAAGTTGCATCAGACAGGCGCTGCATCTGACTCACAATCCCTAGTTCCAAAAAAAAAAAGAAAGAAAGAAAGTTGGGATCATAATCATATCAGCTCCTCCCAGAGCTGCTGCCCCACATCTCCCTACACCAGGTACAGCACTCTCCGTCTGGCTTTCCTGAATCGCCCCCCAACACAGCTTCCCCAGAGTGGGCTCAATGAGATGTACAGACTTACTGGCCCTTCTGACTTCATCAATTTACTCACTCACAAGAGATTTTGTCCACTTGTCTTTCAAAGGGAAACAAACCAGATCTAAAGCCAAGAGATTGCAGAACCATGTTCCTCTTACAGAGACAGAAGGACAGGTCACAGAGGCCATGAGGACTGGGTTTCGTTTCTGTCTTATAAAAGGAGATTCATTTGAAAACAGGACCAGAAACTAAGAAATCCTCAAGGAACTATTTCTTTCAGGACACGCTGAAGCAAATTAAGATGCTTACATCAAAAGGAAACATAATGTTCTCAGATGTTTGGATTTCATGCCCTTCTTATAAGCAACTGATCAATGGTTGCTAGAATGAAACATCTTCTATATAAGGTCATTTTAATTATTTGAACAGCAGCTTTTCTGATATGACAGAAGATATATTTCAAAACCCCAAGGTGGGGCAGTGAAAGTGGTAGAACTCTGGACCTGTACAATATAAAATATGTACTTCTTAAGGAGCCATGCTTCTAAGACATGAACTCAGGGAAACTACAATTCTTTAAGCACATTCCACTTGATAAAACCATTCACATAGCTCACTGAGGAACACGGAATGCCATTTCGGGGACCAAGGAGCCTGTCTGCTGTGCTCTTCTCAGAGATCCTTGCTGACTCCAGCTCACGGCCTTGACTCAAGCTGGTCTGGGGCGCCGTCTACACAGCAAAGTTATTCTGCTTCTAAAGAGCAGGTGTTTATTGGTAAACAGGATTGGGGGATCCTATTAAAGGAAAGAAAATGACCCACATGTCAGTTAATCTGAGTGAAAGGGTCACAGGAAACAAGGCAAGCTCACCTGGCACAACGCTGAGGGTGATGGTTCTTTTGATATCGTTGAACCATCCCGGGACCTCAATACGGCAGCAGTACTGGCCACTGTCACCCACGGTTACGTTCCTGATGGTCAAGGACACGTCTCCCTGCTTAATCTGCCCGTGTAGCCGATAACGCCCATCTTTCCTGGAGGTGACCTGGTGTCCATCGGTCCAGATAAGTGTATCGGAGCACTGGTTCCTGGGACAGGGCCCTCGGCCCCAGCACATGGATGTGACGGCCCCTCCAGACACCGAGTAGGTGCAGGGCAGCGTGACCAGCTGCCCCACCACGGCGCTCACTTGGGTGGAAAACACAGCACCTGAAGGAAACACAGGAAGAGGGAGACTGGGACCTCAATATTTACCTCACTTTTTTCCACTTTTTAATTCATTCATATTTTTCTCTTTAGGTACTTTGTGAACGTGAATTTTCAGCATGATTTTATTTTCTTGATACTGGAGACTGAACCCAGCCTCATGAATGCAAGCTATAAGGGTTCTAGTCCTGAGCTTTATGCCCAGAGAGAATTATTTTGAGTTAGAATCTCAATAAGTCAGTGGCCTTGGCCTCAAACTTGAGATGCTCCTGCCTCAGGTAGCTGGGAATTCAAGTGGGTGGGCCACACCACACCGAGCGATAGCTTATTAAACTTCAAAGTTTTGATACTACAAACATTTTCCTGTTAGTATATTCTTCCTCAGTATCATTGTTATCATTGATATATTTGTGGATCAGACAGTTTATTGTACTGTATGATATTCATGCTGCCCTTCATTTTTACTATTATATTCTGGGTTTTGTTGTTGTTGTTATTTTTTGAGACAGGGTCTCACTATGCATTTCAGACTGCCCTAGAACACACTATGTAGCCCTGGCTGGTCTCCAACTCACAACCATACTCTTGCCTCAGCCTCCCAAGTGCTGGGATTACAGGTGTGTGCCACCATAACCGTTATAATTTTTACTATTATAAAGAGCATGACAAAATCTTTCTATTGTAAAACTATTCTATTTATGTTTCCTAGAGGATAGATTTGTAACAGAGAAATTGCCAAAGGGGATCAACAGGTGTGTGTCACCATGCCCAGCTCACAGGGCTTTTAAAATGCTGACAGCAGCACTGTCTAAACAGAAACATCTTCTGATCACAGCCCAGCAACTAAGCAAGTCCAAAACAAGTGAAACCACAGAACTGGAGAATATTCAGTCAGGAACCAAATTATACACTTAAAAATAATAACAGTAAACTAGACAAGGTTGTGCACACATATAATCCCAGCACTTGGATGGGGGCCCTGTGACAGGGAAAAGATAGGATGAAGGTCTCAATTGCTTTTTATTTAAAAATTAATCCTGCTAAAGCAGCTTCTGAACCCAATGGCAAAGAAAGAAGAAGAAACTAAACTCAAGAAGTTCCCAGGTAGCAGAGATTAACAGAAACTACTTAATCCTTAAAATTAAACTATTTATCCATAAACCCCCTCCACTCCCTTAATTCCATCTATAACCAAAGAACCAGAAAGAACCATGATGGAAGAAAACCAAGGGGAGGGACGAAGACACTCCCTCAGATTCCAAGAGCCCAAAGGAAAAGGATCATAGCAAAAAGGAGCTACAGACAAGAATCCAAGAGTATGGCTGGGCATGGGGGCCCACACCTGTAATCCCAGCACTCAGGAGGCTGAGGCAGGAGGACTGCTGTGTGTTCCAGACCAGCCTGGGCTACATAGTGAGTTCCAGGTCAGTTTCAACTACATACTGAGACCCTATCTCAAAACAAACAAACAAACAAACAAAAATCATAATAATAATAGTAACTACATTTGGGAGGCTGAAGGAAAACCTTGAGTTCAAGGCCAGGCTGGGCTACATAGTGAATTGAAGACCAGCCTCAACTACATATCAAGACCCTGTCTCAAATAAGGAAGGAAAAAAAGACAGAATGGAAGACAGACATACCTCAGATATCTTTATACAGATACCTTAACAAATACATTCAAGGTATCTCTTAAATCTGAGATTTACTAAGTATATAATCATTTATTGGATTGGGATGTGAATTTGGGAAATGTGCAGAAAAAATGATCACTATTCTATAAAATAGGAGAATTTTTTTCACTAGACTTTTACATTTCTCTACTGAACACTAAACCCATGGCCTTTGGGCTGAGGTACATCCCCAGCCTTTTTATTTTGTATTTTCAGCACAGTCTCACTACATTGCAGTGGTTGAGGCTGGGCTACAAATTGTGATCCTCTTGTTTCAGCTTCGCACAGTGTGAGGATTACAAGTGTGCAACACCACGCCTGGCTATCACTGGAATTCTTCTAATTCAAGCCTCAAATCATTCTTTGGAGTACAAGTACAATGCGTGTTATTATAATTAATAAACTCCCACAATCCACTCCTCCAACATTAGTCTTACAAATTTAGGAGATGTTTAGACATTTCATAGAATGCTTTCAATCATAATATAGCCAGGTAGAGTGAGTGGTGCGTGCCTGTAATCACAGCACTGTGGGAAGCTGAGGTAGGAGGATCACAGGTTTAAAACTAACATGGGCAACTTACTGAGACCATGTCTCAAAATAAAAAAAAATAAAAAGAGCCAGAAATATAGATCAGTATGAAGGCCCTGGGTTCAATCCTCAGTACAAGAGAAAGAAGGAAGACAGACAGAAAATTATTTTAAATGAAATGGTTCGAAAGGGTTTTAAAACACCAAGCACAAAGAATGTACTGAAACGCAGCCTCCCTCGCCCGTGCACCGTCTGCCCAGCTCCCGCCCCTGCATGGGAAGTACAAAGCGCACCTGTGTTCCTCCTCTCAGCTCGCTCACTTAGCCATCAGCGGGGGCAGTCAGAGCAGCCACCAATGGATTTGGAGTAAGATGTCGTCCTGGCGCTCTGCTCCCTGCTTAGCAGGTGACCGTCCTACGAAGCCCAGGGCGCCTGTCCTCCTCCAGCCCCACCACCCCAGACGCCCGCCGCTACTCACTCACCTGTCTGCAGCAGCAGGAGGCCTAAGGCGACTGCCTGCAGGTGAAGGACCATGCTGACCGACGCAGTCTGCTCAGGTCTCAGGGCGCGGCCCGCAGCTTCTCCTTCCTCCCTGTGGGTCACAGGCACCTGCTCTTGGGGCGGGGGGCAGACAGTGAGTGGCTTCGGAGCCGGGTCAGCTCCGAGTGGAGGACGGGGAGCGCTGTCCGCCAAGCCAGCCCTTCATTTCCCATCCTTCCCCACACGCAGCCTCCAATCTGACTCGGGCTCTGACCCCGCAGAGAAGGCAGCCAGAGGCAGCGATGGTGAGCGTGGCTCAGAGCAAACACCAGGCTTCCACGGGCAGGGATGGGCGGCAGGGGTTCGAGCCTCGCCTCAGCCAGGCTCGGGGCCACGTTCACCTGTGGTCAGACTGACTGAGCGAGCACGTGGAGCGTTCACTCCTCATGCTCCCGGGAGCACTGGGTCCGACTGCATTTACTGAGGAACGTCAAGAGAATACTTCAAGGAAACCTGGGTTCGGATGCAAGCCCTGACACTCACAAAGTTGAGTGACCCTCGGCGTGACAGCCCCTCAGAGCCTTGATTTCCTCACTGATAAAAGCACTAAGCTCACCTGCTCTGTCTCATGCAAGCGATTGGCCTACTGAGCCAAAGAGCTGGGGGGAACTTTGAAAACTCACCTAAGACATTAACAGCCTTAGCTAACAGCATAAGCTCCGTTAGCTGAGCGATGTGAAGCAAGCTCTGCGCTCAGTATTCTCGTGCATTCAAGGCTGGAGGCGGCTGCTTTTAACCCATTCATGGACAGGAAAGCTGGGACTATCAGAACTTACGTGTGCTCGCACTCCAGGCTGGAATTTAACTTTTGCTCTGACTCATTAAGCCACATGAGCATGAGTGAGCTGCCTAGTACTTCATGAGCTCCCTGTGTGGTCTAAAGATTCGGTAATTTCTCCCAAGAAGCAAAGGGCACTCCACTTCTGGCTGTGCAGCCTATGATGGGCTTCCTGGAGACACCAGTAGGCTCTGCACGCTGAGGCCCTGACCCACATCCAGAGGAAACGCCTTCTGCAGCAGCCTCGGGACTTGGTTGAACCCAGACCCTTCAAAGTGAACTGCACCCCAAGCATGTTTATTTTAAATTTGGATGCAGGGTCTTGCTAAGTTCCTAAGTTACCAGAAAGGGCTCACACTTGGAACCCTCTTGCCTCAGCCTCCAGCGTTCTGGGATTAAAGATGTGTATCACCACACCCAGCTGTTTTCCACCTCTTCTGAAATAAAATGAGTTGACAACATTTAGCCTGTACCGTTCTAACCACTGAAATGTCTTTCTTCAGCCTGTCCCTGGCCCACATAGTGAATGAACTTTAGGGTCTTACACTAACCTAGGTTGAAGGAGATCTTTGCCTTAGGCCCCCATCTTGTTTTTCTTATCGTTGGTTTGGTTTGATTATTTTCACAAAGGGCCTCACTAAGTGGCCCAGGTTGGGCTTGAATCTACTAAGCTCCTGCCCCAGCCTCCCAAGTGCTAGGATTGCAAGCCTGTAACGCCATACCCTCCCCCTTCCACAGTCCTGGACTCCAACTCACTCCAATCACGGGGCCATCATGCAGGATGTCCCACAGCCTATTGGTTTAAATCCTTCTCTTCCATTAAAAAAAAAAAAAAAAAAAGAGCTCAAACCAGAATCTTGAACAGTCCTTCCAGAATTCCAGAGTGAAAATTTTCCCATACTCTTGCACTAGAGCTCTTTTATTGAAAATAAGTATCATTCAAGGTGTGTTGGTGCACGCCTGTAATCCCAGCATTGGGGAGGCTGAGGCAGGAAGATCGCTGCGAGTTCAAGACCAGCCTGGGCTACAAAGTGAGTTCCAGAGCAGTGTGAACTACATAGTGAGATCCTTTCTCAAAATAAAAAAAAAAAAAAAAAGTATATTATTTGGTTTCTTGCTATTCTGTTCCTCTCTGCCTTTGTACACTTGACAGCAACACTACTGTTCCCACCTCAACCACCTAGAGAACAAATGTCCGAAGGCTCACACAGAATTCAGTCATGCCCTTTTTCACTTGGGAGACACTAATAATAAATTTGATTATACTCTCAGATGGGCCAAAGCCCAGTAAGTCAATGAAAATAACTTTTCGGAACATTTCATTCAATTCCACCAGTTACGACTAATACACTGAGCCTAATGAGACATGATTTAACACTCAGAGGATAGAAAGAATCCGGGATTGTGCAATTAGGCGGAGATACACGTGGGTAAGCAGCTAACTGATGAAGTCAGACCAGATGAGGGAAACTGTAAATATGTAATCAGACCACAGCACCGCTTCACTTCCCAGGCTCACACAGCTCCCTCGGGAAAAGGAGAAACCCTGGGTTCTGACCCAGTTCCTCGTACTCCTCATCTTAACAGAGCCTCGGTGGATTTGTCTCGCGGTGTCTTCTGCTTCTCTCTGCCACCCATCTGGCCACAGCACCTTGGGCGACTTTCACGTTCACCTCCGGGCCGTGCCTCCAGCTGCAGTCTGTCCCATTCCTCACTCCCTTGCTACCCCACGTCCACGTTCCCCTTTTCCGCAGGCCCCACGTCCACGTCTGCTCCTCACACTGCAGGTTCGGTCCACCCTCCATGTAAAGCAATGAACCAGCGCCTCGGTGTCACCACCCTCTTCAGTCCTAACCGCAGCCTTCCCTGCCTTCCCCTATTTCCCCTTCTACGTCTGGCTCTGTCTGTGTGCGTAGCAGTGCGTGTGTGTGTGTGTGAGGGTGTGAGCGTGACGGTGTGGTCTCTGCCTCTCTTCCCTCCTGGACAGCGCTGTCCAACTGAATCGGGAGTCATTCTCTGGGAGCGCTGGGCAGTGCAGCAGCCACTACCCTCAGGGACCACGGAGCGCTTCAAGTGTGGCTGGTACAACTCAAGAGATGTGAAATGTCTTGCATTTAAGATGATCTCAGTTAAAAGTTAAGTTGCTACAAATGACTGACATCTTAGACAGCACCCAACTTTTAGACCACAGAGTTTCTAGAAGTGGTGGCACGTGCCTGTAATCCCAGCAGTCAGGAGGCTGGGGCAGGGGAATCATTCCAAGTTCAAGGCCAGCCTGTGTCACATGCTGAGTTCTAGGCCAGCCTGGACTACAACAGCAAGACCCTGTCTCAGAACAAAACAAAACAAAACAAAGAAAAGCAACTTGGAGCCATAAACTCCTTTATCCCAAATTAAGCACTGATTTTACAGATAAACATGGACCCACAAGGCTCAGGAAGAGAGGATTCATTTTGACTGGAAAAGATCAGAGAGTGAAGGGAAGTTCCTCAAAAGTGACTGAAGAGGGCCGGGCATTTAGCTCAGTGGTGCTGCTGCCTGCCTCGTAAGCCCAAGGTGCGGAGTTCGATCCCCAGTACCAAAAAAAAAAAAAAAAAAAAAAAAAAAAAAAAAACTGGCACATGAAGTTCTTACTGAGGGAATACGGGTTGCGGGGAAAGGTGTCTGAAGGAGAGGACACCATGACCAATAGGCAAGACGAGGACGTGGAACCAAAGCTCCATGATGTTAAACAACTGCACAGCGCCCAGAACTGCATTTTCGGGCCCAGGCCCGGCTCCCCAGCCTCACTGTGTCTCACAGACGCCCACACGGGGCAGCTCAGGGGCCTCCTGTTTGTCATCTGAGTTACAGGAGCCTCAGGAGGCACTGCCCTCTGTGAACAGCTCCCGCCCAGAGGGCTGTGGTTCCACGACAGTGCTAGGCTGCCAGCCCTGCACTTCCAGCCCTGACTGCACAGCTGTTTCTGTACAGCCGGGGACACGCGGTGACCCAAGCGTGACTGGTTCATGGTTCTTTCCTTACCACCCCTGCCTGCCAACGAGGGCAATGGATCCACCGTATTGTCACCACAGCTAGATCTCCTTACCCCACAGGAATATCAATATAAGATTGATAAGGTACACGTGTTTACCATAGTGAAAAACAAAACTAAACCTGCAGTGGTGGTACTGCACAATCTCAGCTACTCAGGAGGCTGAGGTAGGAGAAAACAAATCACAAATTCAGGTTTCGAATGGGTAACTAAAAGACCCTCTCACAAAATTTCAAAATTAACATATAAAAAAAATCTTGAAAAAGGAAACCAGACAGTAATTGGGAACAGGAAGCGCTGTCAATGAGATTGAAGGCAAAGATCAAAAATGGACAGGGCTGTGGGAAGTAGAGTCACTTTATTGTTAATAACAAAAACAACATATGTTTGTATGATCTGAAAATGATCAAGAAGAAAAGAAATGCAGAAGGGGAAATTTTGCTGAGCATTGCAGCAATGGAGACGTGCCCAGCTAGCAGTTCTGCCTTAGCCAAGAACGCATGTACCAAATCGATGAGCCTGCTAAGCAGGTTGATTGTTGGGGGGCTCTGGGCTGATGGCTTCCTCAATGGAGCAGGAAATCAACCCAAAGTAGCTGTGTGTGTTGACACATCTCGGCAATCCCAGCTCTCTGGGAGGCTGAGGCAGGAGGATCACAAGTTAAACCCCAGCCTGGGCAACTTAAAATACCTGGAGACATTCTGTCTCAAAGTAAAAAATGGGCTGGGGATGTAGCTCATTCGAAAGGCTCTGGGTTCAATTCCCCAGTACAAAACAAGAAAAGAAGAGGAATTAACCAGAAGTTCACAGTGAGGATAGGACAGATTTGAGGGGTTTGGGGGAAGCAACAGGAGACTCAGGCAGATCCTGGGTGCCACTGCAAGCAGAGGGTCATCGGAGGGACACAGGGCAAGAGGACAAGGTCCCCACCACCACTTCCTGCTGCTCACAGGGAGAAGTAGGAGAATCTTCTTAGGGAGGGGACAATGTTTTGAGTAATGGGTTTCTCTAAATCTCTCCCACACCTTAAAGTTATTCAGTGGCTCCCCAGCCCCTCCCAACTGCAGAGGCCCTCTGCCCATGTCCCAGCCTGGACAAATCCTTCCATTCCCCCCAAACCAAGTCTGCTGCACGCACAGACTTTCACAGCCTCAGTAGTTTCTAACACGGACCTCGAATGGGCAACAGCCAATACGAGGCTCCTCTTTCAAAGACCGTTCAATTACACTTGACTCGGTGAGTTAAAATATTTACGAAATTTTTCACAAATATTTTTACAAGTCACAAAAGTCAATGAGCAAAACTGAACATGGCCATACCCTTGACACCCATGTTCCCACATTATTATATCATACCTATAAATACTGGCCTCAAGAAATACGGCTTAATCCAAAGGCACCGCTCTGTTTCCTCGGGGTTTTTTGGTTCCGATTTGCCAGGCTGCACTGCCTTAAGACAAAGCTTAAATAATGCAGCTATGTGGTTCTACTACTCCATTTAAACAACGTCAGACCCAAGGAACTGCTTATGTGGACCTCCCCTCATTGCTGCGATCAAACATCATCCTGCTCATTGACACCCGGGGCAGACAGCAGGGCTAGGTTCCCAACCCGGCCTGAGTCGGCAGACGACTGAACTCACCAGTGAAGTAGGAGCTAGTTTCTCGGCTTCTCGATGGCAGCCTTTGCTCCTCCAGATCTGCTCATTGCTGACCCTCTCTCCAAAGCTGTTTTATGGACAGAGATGCCTTCTCCCAGAGTTCCACGCCTTATCTCTGTGCCACACCTCTGCATCAGAACACTGGGAGGAAGAAGGCTTGGAAATCAGATCTTCAACAGGTTAATCCTTTTGCGAGATTTTATCCACTTACTAATGGAAGCAGATTCTGGGGAAATCCTGGGCTAGAAGGAATGTTTCTTATCTGCTGGGCTATTTTAAGA